TTTGCAGCGGCACCCGGGGAATAGTTGGGGGTTAGGTGCCTTACAGATTACAGATGGTAGCCTACAAAATATGGCCAAAATACTTTTAATTGGTGTGTACATACGTTAACATATCACTCCTGTTTTAGTGTAACCAGATATACAAAAAAAAAACAACAACAACAGCAAATGTGTTCGAAATCAGGGGCAGGATAACAATATTCTTGCACCACTAGGTGGCAGTAGAGACCATGATTTGAATTCGGCATTTCGATGGTCAGCAAGTTTCAGACTCACCCTGCTTCCATTCGGAAGGGCTCATCCCTGCGCCCTAATCCCTTCAAAAGGTTTACCCTCCTGAGTGAGAACTTCAAAGGGACGAAGGGTGTAGGGAACTTCTGGAATGTCGTCTTAATGAGACGATCAAGGAGGTGCCTTCGTCGCACATGTTGTATTACATTTTGTAAACGTCTTTACGTTAAATAATATATATAATACAATGTATATTTACATAATGTGTCTATGTATTTGAAACATTTGAATGGACTGATAAAGGTAGCTGTAAAGTATTTTTAAGTACAATGTCGTTTTGACCATAATATTGTACCAAATCTAACTCGTATAAATATTACAGTAGTATAGACAAATACATACATTTATCGGTGAAGTCGAACTCTGTGACACCAAACAACTTCTCTGTGCAAAGGATCATGGGGGCCCGAAGTGTCCATCGGTTGTACTCTTCGAAATCATTCATTCCGAAGGGCCCTTTGAAGTGGCCAGTTTTGAGGACTTCGGTTTGGAAACGACCCTTCAATATGGCGGCCATGATTGTTTTCACCCCAAAGTGCCCTTCGGTCAGATATATCCCGTTTGGAATGCACCGATACTCTGTTTGCATCAGAAGCAGCACGGGCTGTTGTGCTTTCTCATAAGACATGTTTACAGTGAGTAACGTTGTTTCACACTTACTCCCTTTGGAGTGCGCATTTTTTTCCATGCCAAAGTTAACAGACTAGCGCATTCAATGGAAACGGATGCAGCGCGGCACTGAGTCTATTTTTGCTGTGCTGCACGTGCTGAATTAAAGTAATAGCACATTGTTCGTAGTCAAAATGAACACGGATTGAAATGAAAATGTACCAATTTTACCCTATATTTTCCAACAACTCCAGGAACCTATCATTTGAGTAAGTAAATACATAATTTAAAAAAATATATATTTTATTTTAAGCTTTTCACATTTTAGAGAACAATCCACCAACACCCCCATGCCAGCAAATCAAAGGAAAAAAAAAAAACCTTAATGACACTGTAATCAATGTAATCATGCATATACAGAGTCATAAAAAAAAAAAAACTCCTATACCAATAAATACCCTATTATGGAAATATATAATTGTTACACACTTTTATTTGATCAAATTAACCACCACACTTAAAGAAAAAGGTTACATTCAGTTATCATTGGTCACCTTCCAAATATTCCAAGAAGGACTTCCAAATCTGTACGAACCTCGTTGGTTTACCCGCAATCTCGCATCTAATTTTTTCCATATACACATTACTTAGCTCTGTAAGCCATGTTTCAAATTTAAACGCAGACTCTTTGTTCCACAACAACAAAATTATCTTTTTTGCTATGGTCATCCCATATTTAACTGTTTGGATCTGACTGAAACTATAATTCTCTAAGAAGGGGAACCAGCCTAATATTGCAATAAGAGGGTCATGAGGAAAATCAATCTTAAGTACCTTTGAGTAGAAAGAAAGAACCTCAGTCCAAAATGTACACATTTTTGGGCAGAACCAAAATAAATGAGACAATGCACCCTCAGTGGACTTACATTTAAGACTCAAAGGTGACACAGAGGGATATATGGAATGTAATTTGGTACGAGAGTAGTGCAATCTCTGGACAACTTTATAAAATCAACTGAAAATTGGAGTTGTTGGAGCAAGACCTAATACCTTGGAGGGCCTTAGCCCAGTTATCTTCTGAAATATCTATCCCCAAGTCCTTTCCCAAGACATCTTTAAGTATTGTGTAGAACGAGTTCTAGAATCATTCAAATATTCAACATATTTAGAAACAAGACCCTTCGAGTCGAGTTCAGAGGTCATAAATAAATAAAGATATTCAGGGGACTTGTAAACTTCAAAATTAGAGATATTACTTTTAACATAATTCCGTACTTGCCCAAAATTTTGTCTAAGCTGAGCAAAAGAAGCAAATACTTTGTCGATATATAAATCTCCTATAGACCGAACTCCATTTTCTTTCCATGATAAAAATGTTCTATCCGACTGTGAGGGAGGGAATGCAAGTAAATGCAAATGTAAGTGAGCAGGTCTGAGGGAGTTTAAAGATTTTTCTGAGCTGATACCAAATCTTAAAAGAATTTACAAAAATAGGGTTACATTTCTTCAGTGTTCTGATAGGTTTGTTTTCTGCAAAGAGTAAAGCAGGGAGGGAGGATTCCTGCATATCCCCCTCAATAGCCTGCCAAGCAGGAATGGTAGTATTCGATTTCCCGGGGCATGCAATCCACCAATACATTCATGCCCTTAGATTGGCTGCCCAGTAGTAATGCTGAAAACAGGGAAGACCTAGGCCTCCTAACGCTTTTATTTTACAAATATGCACGTTAGATATATGATGAGCTCTTTATCCCCAGATAAAAGGCATGATCACAGTATCAAATGTTTTATAGAATGACTGTGTTAAAAAGATAGGAACGTTTTGAAATAAATAAATAAATCTAGATAAAGTAGCCATTTTGATTGCGTTAACATGACCAATCATTGTTAAAGGGATAGTTCACCCAAAAATGAAAATTCTGTCATTAATTACTCACCCTCATGTCATTCCAAACCCGTAAGACACAAATCAAGATATTTTTTATGCATTCTGACAGCTCTCTGACCCTCCCATAGACAGCAAGGGTACTACCACGATCAACGTCCAGAAACGTAGCAAGGAGGTAAATATTATATCGGTAAAATAATCCATGTGACATCAGGGGTTCAACCGTAATTTTACAAAGCTACGAGAATACTTTTTGTGTGCAAAAGAAAAAAAAAGACTTTATTCAACAATTTGTCTCCTCCGCGTCACCCTAGCACCATTTTGGAGAGTATCCACTGAACGCAAACAGCGTATGTTGTTCTGTGTCAGCCACACCACACGGATAGGGTTTATCATAGGGTAAACTGAGCTAAGTACAAACATAGGTATTGCTGAATAAACAAAAAGAAAAATACAAAAATATCTAATACAAAAATAAGCTGGCAAAATACTACCCCAGTAATCTCGCTTCTCGAACATAAGCGAAAATTAGAGTATGTCATTTAAACGTGGGATCGCCCAACAGAACACAAGGAAAGAGAAAAACTAAATAAATTAAACTCAAAAGAAAACAAAAATCGACTGGTGAGGTGACGGATTAACGGTTCTTCGAAACAACACACCACTCCGTCTCCACACATTGTGATCAGGAATACTTCGTATGTGAATGAAAGCACAAACATCCCCGTACATATACACAGGGCCGGCCCTAGCATTCTGGGGGCCCTAAGCAGATTTTCAAAAGTGACCCCCATACCTACAGTTTCACCTAACCACCCGCATCCCATCCCAATGTACACATCTTACACTGACACCTAATTGCAAACATTTAGTTTAACTCAATATATTTATTTTTCAAGAAATAGATAGGAACATATATTTGGGTAGTTGACAAATATCCAGTAAAAAATATTTTTTTGTAAAACACTATTCCTGGTCCTTCAACTAATTAAAGTTGTCCATGGAGTTTAAAAACAGGATATGGTGTCACACCAGAGGACATAGTTTTCAGTGACATAATGTATCAAGTTCATATGCTTTTAGAAATATATGGATGAAAAACTTGTTGCCAGTTACTAAAATAGACACTTGTAAAATTATGCCCGAGTCATTTATTAACAATTGCATGCTATTCTTTTGAATTTATAAAAGTTGACAGTCACACCATAAGACAATTGTGAGATTTAGCTCAAAAATGTAAAATAAATAAATAAAATAAATCTAATAACAAAGCAGTTTTTATAACAATGGGTCCATGTAAGACAAAGACATTTTAAATGATGACAATATTAATTATTTAAATTTTTTTATATTGTGTGACTGAAAATGCCCATTTAAGCAAACGTTTAAAACTAAAGAGTTAAAATTTTAAAAATGAAAGAGTTTAACGATTGCTTAAGAGTAATGTATCAAAATTCAGTGAGATTATTGCTTAAAGCAAAAACACCTGGTTATGAAAATTGCATTAGAGAACAGTATAACAACAATAATAATAATAATAATAATAATAGAAGAATAATAAATTTTCTGGGCTGGCATGACAGTCCAGATTAAAATGCAAAAATAATCAAATATAAGCGTAAACACATGTTGAAACAGATTTTAGCAACATTAAAATGAAGGCAAAAATCTGAGACGAGACGAGACACAAGATAGGGTTCACAAGAATGAGACTAGACAAGATTTTTTACTCTATTTTAAGAAATCTTCAATGATGAAAAACATGCCTGGAAAAATAGTCTGCAGGTGCATTGAAATGTTTGAACTAATCTTGCAATAAATGCCATCTCAGTTCTGCTTTCTGAGTATGAATTATTATATGCAATAACAGAGAATACTCAAGCACTGTAAAAGATTTGGCCACAAACTCAACTGACTATCAACTTACAATACAAGTGTCTTTTACAACATATTTGCCAAGTACACTTGTAATTGCAGCCAAATTCAAACAAAAATCATAGTGGTGTCAGACTCAGCAGTGATAAATTCATTGCACTGTACAATCTCAGACTGTTCTTTAAATTTAATTTCAGAAAATCAACCTAAACTAAAATGGAATAGAAATTACTGAAATTATTCTGACAAATTAAATGGATGATTTAAGTATGTTGTTATAAGATAATGATGGAAACATTTCTGCATTGTAGAAGATGTTCCTCTAAACCTGTGAATGTCACTGGTGTGATCTGACATGTGCGTACAGAGACTGGTCTTGACTGATCTTTGCTTTGGCTCTTCTAGTGTTTAGAGGTTTCTGACCAAAACTAATGGCTGCATAATTCAGGGTGTCTTCATTCTAATTTAAAGAGAGAAAAGAAACTCCAATTATGAGAGGAAAAAGACATGTGATATGGCATAACGTACACCAAAATCCTAACGTTTTATATTTTAAACTTTTTATTTAAAAAACTTTAAAAAGTACTAATTGATAAAACAGATTACTGTAATTGGAGTCACTATTTCTACATTTAAGATCTCAAAAATAAGAAAATGGCGTACTTACTTGACTCTCTTGAGATGTAGGCACTTTGGAAAATTTAAGAAACACTATTGTTATTATAAATGGCAGTTATATGTGTTATTATCAGTTTGTCAGTTTTTGCATTATATAAAATTAATGCACAATAAAAAATTATTTTATACAAAAAGACTTACCTTTATTCTGAACCCTGTATAGTTTTATTCCCAGAAAAACAACAAGGGCAAAAAATATGATGTTTGAAAATCCAAGAGCAAGAAGAGTTGGGGTCACATCAACACTCTCTGAAAGAAAGTGAACTTTAATTTCTAAAATAACTTTTTATTTATTTATTTACTTTTATTAGATCAGTTCAGTATCTTGTATTCCACTTTGAAAGATCAAACCAAACCAATTAAAACCAATTTTCACCTTTATCTTACCTCTAAAATTTAGTTCAGTTCCTTTTCCAAACAATATCTCTCCACACGCGGCCACAGCACAGTAGTAAATCCCAGCATCAGAGTGACTGATGTTGCTCTTGAAGAGATTGTAGACACAGCTCTGTGTTTGAGACTCAGTGCTGTTCTCACACTGACCATTTCTCTCTCCTTTTGTGTAAAGTATCCCTTGAGATTCTCCCAAGCTTTGCCTGAACCAGTAGACACTGTGTTCTCCTGCACAGCTCTCAGTGAAGATGCTGCACTGCAAACTCACAGAATCCCCTGGATGAAGCTTGTCTATTGAAGACTGCTGAAAAATTGTGTGTCTGTCCACAGCTGCATCTTGAAAAGGACATAAAAGTGACATTTAATAGAAAAACAAAGCCACAAATCATTTAATACAATCAACACACATTTGAAACCATACCTTTGACAAGTAATCTGGTTCCTGCACCCATTCCAATGGTGTAATGTGATGAGACTACACAGAAATATGTTGCTGAGTCTGAAGGCTTTGTCTTTAAAATGGTCAGATTAAAATGATCATCTCCTTTAATAACAATAAAACGATTTGCTTTCTCAAAGTCCTTGTTCCAGCTGGGTTGTAGCTTTATATAGAAAGACACAATTTGTACGTTTTTTCTATCAGCCGTCTGTTTAAACCACGCTGTTGTCGTTTGCAGAAGACTTGAAAAGGTGCAAGTGAGGTTCACATCCTCTCCAGCTCGAACTATTTTTACATGATCCTCCTGAACAACATCCACATCAGAGGAGCAGACTGCAAAATGAAGAACACAACAGGTACCTTTAGAGTTGAAAGTGTTATGTAGTGTTAAATAAGTTGTAAATAAATAGTTGTTTAATATTTAAAATCACATATAGGTTAATTTACCTATTTTTGAGGCAAGTAAAACAATTAAGTAATATCTCATGATCAGTCGTCTTCCAAAATAATCGTGCTTTGAATTCCCCTGAAAAAGCGAATGATGAGCACACTATCAATCCATTAACACATGGTAAAGAATAATGGTAGATCAGACTAGACCGCGGTCTTACCATGTGTCCATCGGCCTCTGCTTCACACAACTGATGCACATATGCACTTTCACCTAAACTTTTATGCATTCACACCCCTTGCCACATCAAAATGCTACATTTTTCCATTGCTCCAAAAAAAACATCTCTCATTTATTAAGACACATATTATAAATACTACTATTTATTTACCAGTTTATAGTTAACAGAAGCTTGCTTTCAAAACTATCTGGTCAATATGTTGTTTCATTGCAACTAAAAATTAATTTTTGTGGTTTGTCAGATGAAAAGCAGGAAATAAGACGTTCCAAAGCATATAACCAGAAAATTAACCCTTAAAGGGCCCCAATATAAAAGTTCCCGAGTTTAGTTATAGCGATGATGAGTATCCAAGATATGAAACTTTTAAATACATTTTGAAAATAGTTTGAATCAAGGGGTTGACAGATGGCAAGGGCATGATCAAGTTTAACTATTGCATGATTTATTCATGCATGCATGCTTTGTCTATATTTGCACACTCTAAGAAAAGTCTATAAAAATAGGACCCAGTGTACTGTGTTAATATGAAGGATTTTTTCCAGATTGATTTATCAGCGATGTTTTACTTATATTTTAATTAAGGATTACATTGTATTGTGTTTTAGGGATAAAGGACATGTCTGCGAACTTAATTGATAATGTCCTGGTAGAAAATTACCAGTACCTTTCCTTTTGTTAATGGACTTTTTCTTCATATTAGTTCATATTAGAATGGTGCACAATAGATGTTTTGCTACCTCTCAACTATACTTAAGTTCATAATGTAGAGTAAGAATTATGTATTTTGTCAATTTTCAAGGAATGTTCACAGTATAAACATTACTTGTTTTCATGATCCATTTGTTTTCTAATACAAAGACAGCCACAGCCATTAGTGATTACATTTGGGCTAATATGGCCTATAACCAATAAATGTCTGACATATAAATCTATGCTACTGTGTTAAAAAAAAACAAAAAACAAAGGCAAATGAAAAAAAAAAGTTTATTATAAGAAAATATGAAAGATGAATAAATACTCCTTTTTAAAAGTTATACATCATACAAAACAGTTTGTGTATGTGGTTTAAAACAGTTTATGTTAATAATCTGTAGATTGATTGTTGTACTTTCTTAAGAAATGAATTAAACTCTAGTGCTACATGATAACAAAAGTAAATTCAATTGTAAAATAGCTAGAAACAAATAAATATCTAATACTGGGCATTACTGCTTCCCAATACATACATACATACATACATACATACATACAAACAAACAAACAAACAAATAGCAGACAAAAGACAACGTGCATAAAGCACCTCTTGGTTAGAACAAAGATCCAATCATCCAGGCAGAATCTTCATGACATATCGGAAAGTCTACCACCAGGTGCAAATCGAACAATTTGATTGGCTGATGAATTTGTCAATCTGAAACGAGAGCCCTGAAGACTCTAATAAGGGGCGGAGCTTAGACTCGCGCTTTACTTGAGAACGTCAAAGACGTCAACTTGATTGGATTAACTTTTTGGCATTATTTGTTTGTACACTTACTGCATAGTATCAAGAGATAAGTAAATAAATAGAAACAAATGAGAATGAGAAAAAAGTTATTTATTTAATTTTAAGCTCCTGTTAAACCAACAGGTGGCTTTCCTCATCATAAAAACGGCGTGTATTTCGAATCGATAGCCTACCTGCCATGCATGTGCTTCAATATCTCTGCAGGCCTCTACTATTTCTTGGAGAAATGTTTGTCATAGAGGTTGCAGTCATATTTCATCCATAGGATAAAAAGAACTCAGGAATATGATAAAATTAACCTTTTCTTTTCTCCAATATCTTGATTATTTGTTAGCTCTGAGTTTTCACAGAAATGACCAATATTATGCATAGTAAAGTCGTGATAGGCTAATTGTGTAAATTGCATTTGTTTGCTATATGTGTTAATAACATAGAATATATCAGAGAATATGACTTAATGTTTGCTGTCTGTTGTAGTGTTTTGAAAAAATAAACTTGAAATTTATTTTTTGTAGCGTTTCAAGAAAGCGTATTCATGAGCATAAATTCAAGATAAAATGGGCCTATTCCAAATATGTTATGCAATCAATAGAGACCACTTCAGTAGTTCTGTCAGTATGTGTTTTTGTTAAAGGGGTCATATGATGTTGCTAAAAAGAACATTATTTTGTGTATTTGGTGTAATGAAATGTGTTTATGCAGTTTAAGGTTCAAAAAACACATTATTTTCCACATACTGTACATTATTGTTTCTCCTCTATGCCCCGCCTTTCTGAAACGCGCCGATTTTTACAAAAAGAGCTTGTAACACTCCAAAGAGAAAGGAAAAATTGAAATCGCATCAAATTACTCCTTTAAATGTGTTAGCGGGAATATTTTGAGTGAAATTGCATACTTGATAAATGAAAAGTCTGTTTGGATGGTGTTATGCATAAAAAGAAAAAGCATGCAGCAATGAATAAAAGATACAGAAACAATAATGTATAAAGCAGACTTTATGTTTGGCTATTTACAGAAATGTAAAGCCACCCCTACGTTGTTGCATTGTTTTGGGCGGAAGATTAAAAACATATCCTACTCAGACTATCGTTTCCTACCCAGACTGGCCTCTTTCTTATTTTTTTTTATTGCACCACACTTTGAATTGAAACCACAGAAACGCCTTTCAACAGGACAACAACTGAACTTTGCTTTCCTTTGACAGAAAAATAAGACATCTTAATGTCAAAAACAAAACAAACAAAAAAATATTTCAGATTTTCAATCCACTCCATTCTGTGCGATTTATAAGCATTTTGAAAAGTGGGGACAGGGGGGAATGTCCTGAAAAGTCACCTTCTCCTTGTAATACCTATGTCATACCCTTGTCATTATACAAATTTATGTCCTCATTACACACACACACACACACACACACACACACAGTTGAGTTATGACAAAAGAATGAGGTAAATACATTTTCCATTTTTTTGTGCATTGAAGTTCAGATTTAGTCAAGAGGAGAAAGGCGTGTAATAGGGAATTCTGATTTAGTCCATGTTAACATTACACTATTAGAATAGAAGACAAAATAAAGCCCAGGAAATAAAGAGTAACTTTCAAAAAAATAAAAAACTGGTCTGAGGATATTTGTCAACAACAGATTTTGTTCCAGACACTAAACAGCTCATAATTATGTCTTGTTGGAATAATAATGATGTCAAGTATACTGTTTGAAAATTCAGACAAAATACACTACAGGCCTGGTTAGTGTTTTACTAACTCCTCTAGAGGGGCACTTGTTTGTTTAGATTTCCTGTGTGCATTAAAATATACTCTATAGAATTAAATTGCATTTTTCATGTATTAGGAAATAGCACAATTATATTGTGATACATACATATTTCTTTCCTGTCTTGATGTCTTGATGTCCTGATATCTGACATCTTTTAAGACAAATTAGATACACTAGTATTTCATTTTTATAATTTTATTTAAAAATCACATATTCAGCATGAGACAAAAAGCATTCAAACTATATATTTTAAGCACAAAACATTAATATTTCAGTTAAAAAGCATTTTTTTTATTTATTTATAGCTTGCATATAATCATGATCAATTTAAAATGGGAATATAACAAAGTCTTTCACTATTAGAAAACAATATTTACACAGTCAGGCTTCCATTGTACTTGTATTATTGTAAATGTATTACTTATTTTTTATACAAACTAATGGATGTGTTAAGATTATTTGATTATTTTTTTTTGCCATTAAAAAAAATCGACTCACAAGTTGATATTATTCATTCAACCAATTGCAAGAAATGCAGGCGCTGGATTGTGAGATATCAAAAGCAGCAAAAGATAAATCTGTGTGTCGATACATCTGTTAAAATCTGACCAGATATAGGCATGTTACAAAAACATTGGAATCAGTTTTGCTCTGTTACCTCTCTGCCCTTTTCACAGTTAATGGCTAAGGAAAGAAAAGAGTCATGAATTGATTAAAGGTCAAAATAAAGCTGTAAGTGAGGCTGTGGAAATCCAGAATACTAGTCAGAGGAGCAAACACAGAGCATATATTTTAATTCCCATATTGATGAGGTAATATAGGAGATAGATATAGATATAGAAGTCAAATTTCTCATGTTTCACTTTTCATACCAGTTTTATTCCAAGAGTCTTCTAAATGTTAAAGACGCTTGTGAAACATTGTATAATTTACAGTAGTGGTGACATCACCCTGAAACAGAACCACAGTTAAAAATGGTACATTGTTTCAATAGTTTGATTATGGGCATACTGACTAATTGAAATATAAATTGGAAAAACAAATTTAATGCAGTCATTAAGCATTTTCACATTTTATATATATTGGCATAAAGCACACTTAACATTAAGCTGAGTCTGAAAGCAAGCATGGGCTTACCATTGATTTATCCAGCACAATGTAGGGGATTTCATCTTGAATGAACAATAAGAATTCATATGTTACAACTGCACTGAAACTGATATTGATTTGACTATTATGACTTAAAGGGCGATAAAGCATGTAAATCTTACCTTTTTGCCGGTGCTTGTGCAACTTTGCACCCAGAATTATGATCACAATCACAGATAAACAGTTTGAAGATGCTAAAACTAGGGTAATTGTGGTCCATGGTGTATCTTTAGATATGAAAAAGACAACATCATTTTTCAAAGATATTAATGATGCAACAACATCATGAGCCCACAAGATTAAAAAAAATTTTTTTTTTGCAAAAATAATGGATACCTGGTCTAGGTAAATCAGGTTTTCGTGCATCTCCAAACAGTATCTGTCCACATGCGGCCACAGCGCAGTAGTAAATCCCAGCATCAGAGTGACTGAGGTTTCTCTTGGGTAGGCTGTAGATACATTTATGTGCAGTAGAGTTCACATCAGAGCTCCTCTCACATTGAGCGTTCCTGCGCTCCTGAGTGAATATAATTCCTGGAGGATATTCTCCAGATTCACGTCTGAACCAGTAGACGTTGTGTTCTCCTGCACAGCTCTGAGTGAGGACAGTGCACTGCAGCGCCACTGCAGAGTCTTCTGGATGCACTGGATCTATCACAGTTGTCTGATCATCAGAGTGCATGTTTAGTCGTCTGCCTAAAAGAAAATAAACAACAACGACATGATTGTAATTTGACCAGACACAATGTGCTAAAATACATGTACCACAGTAAAGAAAACATTCTGCTTACCTTTAACAATGAGATCAGTGCCTTCCCCAAATATGAACTGATATATATATTTAACACAATAGTATGTTGCAGTGTCCGATTCTTTTGCATTTGTGATGCTCAGATTAAAACGGCTGTCATCTTTTTCTACAAAAAAGCGATTATGTTTGTTAAAGTCATTTTCAAAGACGGCAGGTAAACCTTGATATGACAAAGTGATTAAAAGGGGTTTCTCTCCAGCTCTTTGTTTGACCAAAGCAACAGTGGTTCTTGACTCTTTTGGAAAAGTACAGGTGAAGTTAACACTGTCTCCTGCTTGAACAATCTTCAGATGATTCTGAGACTCGATGTCTGCATTATCTGAGCTGCCTAGAAATGGAATAAGAAAACAGTTAGCATCGCCTGCTGTACAGTAGATTTGCTTTGTTCAAACACATTGAAAACAAGTAGGATGTCTATTTTTATTTTTTTTTTTTTGCTCATTTAGTCGAAGTGTAGGTCTGAGATTAACAGAATACAAAATAGTAACTTACACTTTAAAAAGTAAAGCAGTAGTATAAAAAAATGCTGAATCATTTTGTTACATCAACTCCAAATAGGTTAAATCATCTAGAGGGGGGAAAAATAATTATTGTTATATTATATGCATTATTATACAATTATGCAATTCTAGTTTGTCACATATTACTTATAATATATATATATGACCAAAAATGTATTCAAGTTATTTTAGCATTTTGTGTAGAAACAGAGATATTTACCTCATTAAATCTCATTTTCTTCTTCTTTGTACTGGTTGACTGAATGAATTACCTTTCACCTATAAATATATTAACAGAGCTGGATTTACTTGATTATAGTAAATGAAAAGATTGGATTCAGTTGTAAAAGAAAAAAGAACCAGCTCAATAGCAACTAAACTAAACTAAAGTGGTAGGATATCTGCGGCATGAACTACACGAAAGACAATCTCTTTATTATGAAACTGACCTACTCAAAAGATCGACGCCCCACTACAAGTGCCTCTGAAGTGTGAAAAATAGAAAAAACACCACATGTAACATAAGCATTTCTTTCATTGAAAGCACACAAACCTTCAAATGGCCTTTACATTTTTCTTCTTTTGACAGATTGATGATGTAAAAAAAATTGTGTAAATTTTTATAAGCTTAGTACACATGGTTTTATATTACTTTGACATTTAAACAAAACAGTAGAAAACACTGCTACAGTGGGATTTCTAATACAAGGTACTGTTCACTTTGCTCTCTTCTGTCTGCAGCAATCCATTTAAAAACAAATATTTTTCCTCTTTTTGGAAACTCAATACTGGATTTTTCTTTTATTGTTTAAAAAAACAGAAATGCTAAATAATATTTCCTATGACTTCTTACGTGTGTCTGTATAAGTGTACTCTGAATAGTTGACTTCCACCTTCTGGACACAGAAATGTAAACAAGAGGGGAAGATTTTCTGTGAGTAATCAATTCAATTTTGACCTGTTCTCACGTAAAGCTATTGCTAAGTAAGACTTGCAGTACAGAGCCTAAAGCTTATGAACTATTTAATGTTATGTTTTTTTTTAATATTTTGGCATTTGACAGCAATGGTGTTAGCATGCATACATTAGTACATGACTTACACCTTAATCTAAACATGAAAGAGAAAAATTTAAATATTTCTAATTTCAAACAATCTCAAAATGAATTTCATATTTCTGAATGAAATGCGAGTTGTGCTTGCTCTTTTAAAAATGGGGTTGTTGTTTTGAAGATATAACTGGGTTAATATTGTAAAATTCCTTTAGGGGAAGTTTGATCTAAGAAGACACATAGACATTGAACTTTTCGTAGTTTGTGAAAGATGCCTTGAGACCACCAACTTGGTTGAGATGGAAAGCACAAACTTACAATGTGAAAAATGCACATTTCCTGTGTTTAAGCTGGCAGGTGGTTGCAGTGGTGGGGGCCCAATCAAGTGTTTTTGCACTGGGGCCCAAACAAACCTAGTTATGCAGTGGAATACTCTGGGCTTTCAGCCATTAATACCACAAAGCACAGACTCCTCCACAAAGTCAGCATATGTCCATGTAAGAACATGTGACGCCAACTAGAGCACCAGTCAGAAGAGAAAAGACAAAGTACATAATTTCCTGTAGAGTGACTTACAGGAAGAAGCTGCTCAGAACAGACTGAGAAGTGCTGTGTTGAACATCAGCAGAGAAACATTTAACTTTAGACATGACTGTCAGCACTGAATACATTGAAATTCTGAAGCATTCTAAATTCTAAATTGAAAGTTACTTTATATAATATATATAGATAGGGTATATACAATATATATATACTATATTTTTTTCAAGTGTTGTAGATTAATATAAAATATTTTGATCTGATGAAGAATTCTTCAAATAAGTCTATGAAAAGTGCAAACTTTAAAGGGGTCATATGATGCAATTTCAATTTCCCCTTTCTCTTTGGAGTGTTACAAGCTCTTGGTGCATAAAGAAGATCTGTAAAGTAGCAAAGACTAAAGTCAGCCACACCTACCTAAAACGGCTCGTTCGAACACGCCCCCACATGTCTACGTCACTATGTTGGACGGCAAAACTACTTTGTTTGGTCTTCCAAAAGAGGACACAACTAGAAGTCAGTGGTTAAGTTGTATTTACAACACTGTTTCAGAACAGTTCAACCCAAATATTCAGATGTGTGCAGCACATTTTATGGAGGACTGTTTCCTGATCCTGGTAGAGTAGACTACAATGCCGGCTGTTCTGACTCACAGACTGTAAGTACGTTTTTATATTTAAAGAATTTGCCACTGATGATTCAAACGTGAGTTTTGAGCAGTGTAGAGTAGCACTTGTTGTTTGTAATTTCTCCGATCACAAATGCAGACATGGTTTTAATGTTTTTGTCTCGTCGCTCCGGCCGGACAGGGCATCACAGTATTGTAGGGGCGTAGCATTTCCGTCACACGCTTGAGGTATTCGGCCAATCACAACGCACTGGATAGCTGGCCAATCAGAGCACACCTCGCTTTTCAGACCGATGAGCTACAAAGTCTACTCGTTTCAGAAAGGCGGGGCATAGAGGAGAAACAATAATGTACAGTATGTGGAAAATAATGTGTTTTTTGAACCTTAAACCGCATAAACACATTTCATTACCCCAAATACACAAAATAATGTTCTTTTTAGCAACATCATATGACCCCATTAACTATTTTACTTGCAAGAGGTTATTGTGAACCTTTGTGCTTCTGTATGCATACGTTTGCATGCATGATTGTGCACAGTGTGTGGTTTGAGCATTTTCCAACCACAGGACTGACCCACTGATGTGTTTCATACTGCTCTCTGAATCAAAAACCACACATGCACCTTTCTCAGTAATTAATTCACCTTGCATTAGTAAAGGAATAAATTACCTATCAATGATTACTGCTGGGTGACAAACACGTCGTATAAATAGTAACAGTTTATTTTAACACTACAAACACCTTATATGCTCAGCTCGGCTTACAAGTTACAATGTGTGCATTTAACAGGACACAAAGTTATTTTCCATTTTACTATGCTCTGTATTTAAATGAACATGCTTTATTAACTTTAATAAAATATAAACATAAAAATATAATATAAACATAAAATTTTAACATTTTCATTTAGGAAAATGGAAGCAATAAAATAAAACAATAAATGGAAATAGCAGTAACCTTAAATGTTTCAGTTTTTAGCTGTGGTCATAGAGGACATACTTTTTGTCCGTAAGAGACATACCTTAAAAACACTCTCTTAAACCTGACAGTAATTTGAGTAAGTTAGGATTTTAACATCAGGATTTAACATTTTAGCATAAATGTGGGATTTTCTAATACCTTCAGTTGATTGTAGTACAGGCCTCAGCCTCATATTTTGGTTTTATGATAAAGTTTTGTCACAGGTGTCCACTAGAGGGGCCTCATGAGACATTTATCGATAATACTGGGCCGCATCAATTTTTGTAACTCTTTAAAAACATGATGCAGACTAATGCTGTCCCAGATATGATTGATTATATATTTGTTTATTTATTTTAATCATTACATGTAAGTTGATACATTATCTATTTTGTTTTTGATTCATGGACCACAAGGGTATCACCCTATAGGTCAATACATATACAAACCCAATTCTAAAAAAGTTGGGACACTGTGCAAATTGTGAGTAAAAAAGGAATGGAATAATTTACAAATCTCATAAACTTATATTTTATTCACAATAGAATATAGATAACATAACAAATGTTGAAAGTGAGACATTTTTAAATGTCATGCCAAATATTTGGCTCATTTTGGATTTCATGAGAGCTACACATTCCAAAAAAGTTGGGACAGGTAGCAATAAGAGGCCGGAAAAGTTAAATGTACATATAAGGAACAGCTGGAGGACCAATTTGCAACTTATTAGGTCAATTGGCAACATGATTGGGTATAAAAAGAACCTCTCAGAGCGGCAGTGTCTCTCAGAAGTCAAGATGGGCAGAGGATCACCAATTCCCCCAATGCTGCGGCGAAAAATAGTGGAGCAATATCAGAAAGGAGTTTCTCACAGAAAAATTGCAAAGAGTTTGAAGTTATCATCATCTACAGTGCATAATATCATCCAAAGATTCAGAGAATCTGGAACAATCTCTGTGCGTAAGGGTCAAGGCCGGAAAACCATACTGGAGGCCCGTGATCTTCGGGCCCTTAGATGGCACTGCATCACATACAGGAATGCTACTGTAATGAAAATCACAACATGGACAAAAAAAAAGGATTTGGATTTAAAAAACAATCTCTGTTTATAAATCTGTACTTACAGACTTGATTAAAGATCAAGGTTGGTTTTCATGTAGAATCTATCACAGGTTTATCTTCCTTCTCAACACAGTCTGAAAGAGAAAGACACGCAGAGACTCACCTTTATATACTGTACCTCCCTTTATGAAAGAAAAGCAGCTTTACATGATTCTATTGGCTGATTCACCATACTGTTCATCATAATGCCATGTTCACGGTCATAGTAACAGCAAATCTAAAGTTTTCTAGTAGACTGACACATTTGCACCTGAATGCAATATAAATGAAACATCTACTAATAGTACAAATATTTATTGATACAAATGAATTTATTAACACATCAAAGTAGTAATGTTAATTTAAATGTGTATCACCCCATCATATTGGAAACAGTTGTTTGTTTGTTGCTTTTCAGCAGAAAATACTGTATCTGTAACATTGACAAGTTCTGTAAGGTGGAAACATTCTTAAAGCGTTTGGCTGTGGACACAACATATGTTTTTCATCCTTCCTGCTTTCACTCTTTGACCACAGCTAGAGAATCCTGCACCACAATTGTACAACAACAGAAATTCTTGACCAGAACTGAGGCTGGTCCCAGTGTATACTTTAACCTTGAAATCGTAAAAGTGATTTGTCTGCGTTTGCCTACATTTAGCATCATAATGTTATGCACAGAATTATATTTAATCAAACTAAATGAAGTATTTGGACCATGAGGCCACTGAATTATGAAGCAAATAATAAGA